GGCATTGAGACAGGATGCATGCTCTCGTAACCTTTAAGCTGATAGGATTATGTTAAAACCTCCCCTCCCCATCTGCCTATAAAAGCAAGTGCTTGTGTGATAATAAACGAACTGCCTCGACAGAACCCCCGCCGCATCTGAGTGTCCTTTAACCGGGCTGTTTTGGGGCCGGCGGTGTGCTCACCTCTCTTCATGGCTCTCTTCCTCCATCTCCTTCCAAAGGGGACTGGAGGGAAAGAGGAATCCGGGCCATTTGCTCGCCCACTGAAAGGAACGAGGCTAAGGCTGTTCGGGTCGGCCGGTGGTGGACCCGACACACCCTGATCATGTGGGACCCTCTTAGAGTAAGGACCACATCTTATTCATTGTTTTCTTCTGGATACCTAATAGAGCAAACAAACCTTTCTCCATTGAACTTTGAATTGAATGGTTTAACTCGAATCTCTAATCTTTTCTCTTTCCTCCTCTTAAAGCTTATTGCCTTAAACTCATTTGTCAGAATTTTCTGAAATCATTCATAATATTAAAATACTAGACAGAAATGACCATTTTGTAACACTTTGAAGATAGAAATTTACTTTTATAATTAAACTTTTTTTTTTGAATCTTAATTGTGTTAGTGATATTTGAAACTCTTCTCCTTTACAACCCTTAGGGTAATCCTGTTAAAGCTGAGTTCCTTTTGATCAACTTCTAATCGTGGTTCTCCCTCTCCTCCCCAAATAGCCATTTGTACTAGTCTGTTTCTGTCGCTTATAACAAAATTTCTGGAACCGGGTAATTTGCAAGAAAATGAAATTCATTGCTACAGTTTCAGAGGCTAAGAAGTCCAAAGTCCAGGCAACACATCTGGTGAGGGTCTTCTTTGGTAGTGGCTTTACAGCAATGCAGGTAGTGGTTTCACATGGCAGAAAAATGGCAGAGCACCTGAGAACCACGCCCTGACCATCATTATTAATCCATTCACTATGGCATGGTCCTACAATCTAATCACTTCTTCAAGTCCCCACCTTTCAATTACCATAATAGGATTCCCCACCCTCACCAGTTACAGTGGGAATTAAGCTTCTAATATGTGAACTTTTGGGGACAGAATTCAATCAATCCACAGCACCATTGTTCTAACTTTCATATGTATCCTTTCAGACCTCTTTTTTATACTTTTACATAAATCCCATGTATCCACAGAAAAAACACCACCTCTTTGTGGCAGTGTTTTCTACATAAATTGTGTCATATGTGTATGCAATATTCAGAAATTTGCTTCTTAACTCAACTTTTTGAGATCTAATAATGTTGCTATGCATAAATCTGGGACATCCCTTTTACCTGTGGGTAGCTTTTCACTGTATGGAGTGTGCCACATTTGTTCTTGGCTGGATGCCTAGGTTGTTTCCGTTATTTTGTTTTTGTTTGTTTGTTTGTTTTGTTTTTGTTTTTGTTTTTTTGCGGCTGGCCAGTGTGGGGATCTGAACCTGTTGACCTTGCGATTATAAGGCTGCACTGTAACTAACTGAGCTAACTGGCCAGCCTTGTTATTTTTGTTATTGCAAACAGGGCTGCAATAAGCCTACTTAAACATGTATTTTTGGGCCTCTTGCAGGAGTTTCCATAGCCTATATTTCTGGAATTGTTTGTACTGGGCTTGGAAGTACTCACATTGCCACCAAATGTGACTGTACTGGTGGCCTTCCTTCTGAGCTTTTCCTCCTTTCCCAATACTTAGTGTTGTCAGAATTTTAAACTTTGGTGAATATGATATGCATGAAAGGAGATACCATTGTTTTAAGTTAATTTTTGTGAATACAGTTGAGGTTGAACACTTTTTGTATGATTATTGGACACTTACATTTCCTGTCCATTTTCTTTCCTTTGTTTCTCTTTTCCTGGAATTCAATCATTGTTTCATTAAATGTGTTCCAAATATTTTCTCCATTTATTTACTTACTTTTAAAAACCTTTTTAGGGTACTTTTGGCAGAACATTTAAATTTTGGTGTGACCAAATGTGTCAATATTTTTCTTTTATGACTTTTGCTTTCTGCATTTCTAAGGAAGGGTTGCCCTACCTACAAGGTCATAGAGATATTCTCTTATATTTTATCCTAGTAATTTCAAAGTGGGTTTTTAAAAACCTTCAGGCTGTAATCTACCTGCAAATGATTTTTGCGTACGATATGAAACAAGGGCTGAAATTTTATTTGTTCTCATATGGTTAGCCAACACTATTTATTGCATAGTTTATTCTTTCTTCATTAATTTGAAATGCCAGTGTTAACATACATCAGCATTTTATAACTGTCTGGCACTATTTCTGGATTCCATTCTGTTCTGTTTCTACTCCAGTAACCCACTGTTTTAATAACTATGGCTTTGTATTACCTCTTGATATTCAGTAGGAAAGTCGTCCCACTTTTTGTTCTTTTTATAAATTTTGTTTACTGACTATTCCTCCATATTTACTCTTTCAGAACCAGGTTATTTCATTGCACACACACAAAAAAAACTATTGTTGGGATTTTGAGGGATATTTAAAATAAATGTAAAAAATACAAAATTGTATACTATTATTTATTCCTAAAGCCTTCAAAATGTGTTATTTTGCATCCTCTATGTGTTATTCTTATTAGATAAAGAGCAAGATAGAGCCAAAGTCTTGTGGGACCTAAAGTCTGTACAATTCAGGAGATCTCTTTAAGGAAAAGAATGGAAAATTATGAATGCAATGTTAGACACTGTGCCTTGGGAGGGGCTTGTGCTGGGGAGTGCCTGAACTTCCGGCTTCATTAACTTCAAGGTAAACGCACTTCAGATAAGCAGTCTTACATAGAGAGAAAGTCCTAGCAAGTTGTGCCTTCACTCCAACCACAGTAAACCACTGGCTCAGGACTTCTAAGCTACTTAGCTAGTATAAGCCATAAAATAACAACTCGGTTTGCAGCGTCAGTCGTGTTTTTAGTTGTGTGTTATATAATACCACTGCCATGACTTTTCCCTGGGAAAGCATCTCACATTTGAGGATCTCAGGGCCCATTATGAACATAAACTAATTAAAGCTCCCAAACCCCAGAGACACTGGAAAGAGAGATATAGCATCAACTCACCCCGTTCTGAAATGCAGCCACCTCTGGAGATGAGTGTGACAGCTGCTTAACAGTCAACTGCAACACCTCATGACAATTTAGCCAAGACAATTAGCCATTGTAGTAAGTAATTGTCCCATGAACATTAGACTGTCAGACGGTTAAGACCAGGATTGTGAGTTCATTGCAAATCTAATCTATTCTTTAAGATTTATTCCATTGTAGTAATTTTGTCCTAATTATAAAAGAAATATATGCACAGTGAAGGTCTAATTTTCTTAGTTGTGTTTTTTTGTTATTCTTTGAATTTAAAACTTAAAATAGGAAAGAAGTATCTTTTTTTAAATGAAGTGCAACTTAAGAATAAGTAGTTATTGATATATATTTTTTTCATTCAAAAGTTTGCTGCTGAGTAAAACTAATCAATGGTAGTAAAAGTGAGAATAGCGGTTATGCTTGAAAGGCGTATTGACTGGACGGGGAGGTGAGAGAACCTTCTGGATGCTATATATTCACCCTGGTGGTTGTCACATAGGGGTAAACGTGGAGTTCACTGAGCTGCACACTTTTCCATATGCATGTATATCTCAATAACACAGTAGATTAATGTAGAAAGCATGCTGCTCCTGTCTTCATGAGAATGCTAGAAACCTCATAGAGGCTATTTAGAAAATTTTGCAGGGTACACGACGTGTCAGGAACTAGAGTTGTGATACATCTTATTTTCCCCAAAATGCCTTTCTTCAGATGAGGTATTCTAAGTCCTCTGTTCCTCTCTTCTCAGGACATTTTCTCTTCATGCAAAAGAGCCACCTGTCATGCTGGGATGCAGTTCTCTCTCATTGTACCTTCAATGTTATGTACATTTACACTTCCCCAGGCATCTCATTTTTCTCTTAGAATTTCATTTGGTTTCATTCACCTACATCTTTGCCAGAAGTAGGGAGAAAGCATTAGTGATCCAGTGATTTGGGGCTGAGAGGTGTCTTCAGGTGCTGCTGACACTGGAAGACACTGTGGAGAGGAAGCACAGAGGGTCCTGGCTGTCTCTCCCTCCTGCATCTGGGTAGAGCATCCTCAGCTCTGAGCTGAGGCCTGAAGGCCAAGGGCAGATGTCATAGCTGAGAATCCCCCAGCAGAGCGGGCACTGGGGGAGGCAGGAGGAAAGGACTGCATTCCTTCAGTGATATCCTCTCCCAAATCACCCTCCTTGGGATGGAGTGTTTGGAAAAATGAAAAAAGGGTGGTGGGGTGGGAGAAAAGGGTTTTTCAGACAAAATAGATTTTTTTTTACTGTAATTTTTATCGAAGGTTAAATACATAAAAACTACCCTGATTGTTGACTTTTCAGAACACATTAAAACAATAATGCTCAGCTCCAGTTCTTCTTGCTTAGAAAATAGAAAAGTGAACATTGTGGCCACTGACACACCACATGTTTGCAGTATTTCCACACAAAGAGAATGCAGGCCTTCTGCTAATTCTTGGGATTTGGTTAGCACTGACAGAGCTAATTGTGGTCTTTCCCACCTTGTGGGAACCTGCCATCCAGGAACCTAATACTCAGTTGTTTGTACACTGCAGAGGGGGCTACTGGCATAGGTTGAGCCTCCTGCATGCCAGGCCCAGCCCAGGCCTGCTGCACACGTCATCTCCACAGCTCCCCTGGGGCAAATACCATTTTATCTCCATCGTGCAGATAAGGGCACAGAAAAGTTGAGGGAGGAACTTGCCCAGGACCCCTCCATCAAAGTCAGAACTGGGGTGGGCTTCAGCGACCCCACTCTTCCTCCCTGAAGGATACAAGGCTTCCGATACGCTGTAGCTTAAAAGCACATGATCATGCTGTTCAGTTTCCTATGGTTCTGCAGGTAGTTATTTTCTGTTTTCTGTCCTTATTTGACTCTTTCTTTCAAAGATGCTGAGCTCAAGAGTAACAGCCAGGGTTCCCAGGAAATAGTTGAGGAGCCAGAGGAACCTGTCTCTCCAGAGGCCACGGAAAACATCCAGGTAAGGGAAACCATTCTCCCATGCCGGGGGTATGGAGATGGGCTTGGGGGCTACTGACTTCAGAGGTGTCCCTGGTGCTGGGGTCATTATCGAGATGTTCTAACTGACATCTGATGCAGAAAAGGCCTCACTAGCGCTAAGGATGGGGAGCCAACAGGGTGGGGGAAACAGAGGCCTATGTGTTTGTAACAGACAAATCAAAGCCTCACTGCTGTGCTCTCGAATGCAGCTCAGCATGGGCATCAGCCCTTCTCTACCTTCTGCCATACCCATTCCGACTCCAGGAGGCTAAGCAGATTAAGCTGCTCATTTAAAGCTCATTAGAAAATCTAGAGTTTCTGAAGAGACTTACACCCTCTCCACATGCTCGAATGAGGCAGCATTTTCCTTCCTGCCCTGATTGGCCCTGCAAACTACAGAAAGGCCCATCACAGCTCCCTGGAGAGCTGCTGGGCTTCGCTGTCCTTACCTGGCCTCAGAGGGAGCCCTCTCCTGCACCTTCCTGCTGCCAGTGTGGCACTGATAGGGTGCTGTGTGTGCTGCTGCTGCCCAACTGATAGAGGGGAATAAACCTGCCCCATGGGAGTCTAGAATCAACTATGGTATAGAATAGATAAGATTCGATGGATGGGCCCAGGATTCCAGCTATCATTCCATCTTTGCCAACCTCTGACCACTGAGGGGTTCATAGCTTATAAAAATGCCTGTATTTTCTGGGCTCTGCGTCCTCACACGCCCCTGTAGGGTCTTGGCACATCCATGTATCCTTGAGAACAAGGCCACTCAGGTCCTCTCCTTTTCAGAAGACCTCACCAAGGCAGTATAGTCCTTTAGTTTCTGATCTACTGACTCCCCCATCCAGCTGGGCCCAGATCCCTCCCTTAGCCCAGGATGGGGGTCAGGTGCAGGGCAGTTGCTTCCTGGCCTCCAGCCTCCTCTTCTCTCTTTTTTTTCCTTTCCTATCTTGGAGAAAACAGTGTTCCTCTTGGTCATTAACTCATACAAAGAAAATCTTAAGAAGGGGAAGAGGGAGGGAGGACCTGATTCTTCACAGTAGGCCACTTTGATTGTCCTCCCTGACTTTCATGTTGTCTCTGGAAAAATGCATTCTGATCCCCAGACCACAAAAGGGCACAACCTGTAGCTGGTTGGGTATCAAGCACTGGTTTATTCTCTGCATAGTAATCTGGTGCTCACGATGGTGAGGCACTCTGCTAGGTGCTGGGAGTACTCAGAGGACAAGTACACACAGCCTCAGCCTTCAGTAGGCTGTTGCATGGCAGGAAGAGGAAAGGCCCCTAATGAAGTACGTGGAAGAGAGAATGGGAAACATGGCAGAAGAGAGGACAGGAGGGAGACCTGAGTCTTTTAAAGAAGATTGTATGGCATGGATTAGGTTGAGGGAAATGAAGCTGATGAGTGGAATTAATGAAGACAGAATAAAACAATGTGAGAGACTTCCACTTCTGGTGAGATGGAGTAACAGAGACTGGATTTACTCTCCTGACTAAGGCAATCAAAAAGTGGCTAAGATATAGGAAGCAACAGTTTTAAGATACTGCTCATCACTGTAACAAAGGTCAGTGATGCCTGAGAGATGGGAAATACACCAAGTGAATCCTTTGATTGTCCCAGCTTATTCCTTGAGAGGGTTTCCAGGCCACAGCACAGGGGAGGAGAAGCCAGTGGACTTCCTGAGTTGAAGAGACAGATCTTAAAGTCCATGGAGACTAAAACCACTGAAGTTTAAAGGACGGAGAACCAGAGAGGAGAGAGCTGCACAGAGAGAGACATCATTGATCAGCAAAGGATCACTCTTGAGTATTCAGCTGAGTATTGATCCGCACATGCACTGTGTGGAAGAGAGAATGGGAAACATGGCAGAAGAGAGGACAGGAGGGAGACCTGAGTCTTTTAAAGAAGATTGTATGGCATGGATTAGGTTGAGGGAAATGAAGCTGATGAGTGGAATTAATGAAGACAGAATAAAACAATGTGAGAGACTTCCACTTCTGGTGAGATGGAGTAACAGAGACTGGATTTACTCTCCTGACTAAGGCAATCAAAAAGTGGCTAAGATATAGGAAGCAACAGTTTTAAGATACTGCTCATCACTGTAACAAAGGTCAGTGATGCCTGAGAGATGGGAAATACACCAAGTGAATCCTTTGATTGTCCCAGCTTATTCCTTGAGAGGGTTTCCAGGCCACAGCACAGGGGAGGAGAAGCCAGTGGACTTCCTGAGTTGAAGAGACAGATCTTAAAGTCCATGGAGACTAAAACCACTGAAGTTTAAAGGACGGAGAACCAGAGAGGAGAGAGCTGCACAGAGAGAGACATCATTGATCAGCAAAGGATCACTCTTGAGTATTCAGCTGAGTATTGATCCGCACATGCACTGAAGGGAGGCTGAGTAAAGAACCTCCCAAAAGGATTAGAGCTAACAGTGCCCAGTGCTCCTATGAGGCTGGGGACAGTGTCTGTTCTCACCAGCTAGACCGGAAAACCTTATGACTGACCAGGCATTGACAGAGTACACAGAAGAGTCTTGCCTCAGAAGTGGAAATAATTAGCTCTAGAGACAGCACTGCACCAGGCCTGTCTAACAGATCTTTAGAGCAAGAACCAAAAGCATTGAACTGTTTCCAAGTAACTTAACTCAGTTCCAGAACAAAGTTCAAGAATATTTTATGGGAATACAAAATTGCCCAGCACCCAACTAGGTAAAATTCACAACATTTGGAGTCCAATAAAAAATTACCAGACACTCCAAAAAACTTGGAATATAATGTGCATAAGGTCAAGATAAATCAATCAGTTCAGAACAACCCAGCTCTAAAACAGATATTAGAATTAGTGTACTAAAACATTAAAACAGTTATTATAACTATATTTTGTATGTTCTAAAGGTTAAGGAGAGACATGGAAGACATGAAAATGCCCCAAATCAAACTTTTAGAGATTAAAAACTACAATGCATGAGATGAAAAAATATGCTGGAAAGATCAGCCACAGGTTAGACATTGCAGAAAAAAAGACTAGTGAACTTAGAAATGAGAGTTAAAAAAAAAAAATTAGTGTCAGTGACCTTTGGGATAACGTCAGGGACCTAATATATGTGTAATGTGTAATTGGAGTCCATATAAAGAGGGAGAGGTTGGGACAGAAAAATTATCTGAATAAATAATGACTGAAAAAAAGTCTAAGTTTGATGAAAAGAATAAACCCATAGATACAAGATGCTCAACAAGCATGAGAAACATGAAGAAAACTATACCAAAGCCAGTCATAATAAAATGGTGGGAAACCAGTGATACATAAAAAATCTTAAAAGCAGGTGGCAGTGGGGTTGGAGGGGACAAGTTAGGAACAGGGGAACAAAGATTAAGATGAAAGCAGATTTCCTGTTGGAAACAATGCAAGCAAGAAGACACTGGAGTCACATCTTTAAAGAAGTGGAAGAAAATAAACTGCCACCCTAGAATTTTATACTGAGTCAATATCTTTCCAAAATAAAGGTGAAATAAAGACTTCTGCCTACACACAAAAGGTGGAAGTGTACACCACCAGAAGACCCACATTACAAGAAATGTTAAAAGAAGTTGTTCAAGCAGAAGGAAAATGATACCAGGTGGAAATCTGGATCTACACAAAGAGATAAAGAGCGCTGGGAATGGTAACAAAATGGGTAAATGTATGAGATTTTGTTCCTAATATTTATATCTCTTTAAAAGATAATTGACTTCTTAAACAAAACAAACAAAAAAAAACACATTGCGTTGGATTTATGTATGTAAAAAAAAAAAATAAAGTATGATAAGAATAGCACAAAGACCTTGAAGGAAGAAATGGAAGTTCACTGTTTTAAGGTTCCTGTGCTACAGCTGAAGTGGTTAATGTCGCGGGAAGACGGTCTGTGATGAGTGAAGATGCATCACAAAGTTACACATCAAATTCAGAGTGATATCTAATAAGCCTACAGAAGAGACAAAATGGAATCATAAAAATACACAGTGAATCTAAAAGAAGACAAAAAGAGAGAAAAGGGAACAAAGAACAGATGGGACAAGTAGAAAACAAATAGTGAGATGAGAGGTTTAAACCTAACCAAACCAATAATTCTGTTAAATGTAAATGGTTTAAATATCTCAATTGAAGAGTATATAAAGCAGATACAGATTGGATAAAAAGCAATATTCAGTTATATATTGACTAGAAAATGTACTTTAAATATAATGACACCATAAGTTAAAAGGGTTAAAAACATACACCATGCTACCACTAATCTAAAGAAAGCTGGAGTGGCTTTATTAATTTCAGACAAAGTAAATTTGAGAACAGAGAATATTATTAGGGATGACAAAGGCCAAGGAGAATTATTCATACAATTATGAATATTTATGTACCTCATAGCAGAGCTTCAAAACACATGAAACAAAATATTATAGAATGGCAAAGATAAATAATTTAATTATATTAGAGATTTTAACTTCCCTCCCTTAATAATTGAAAGAACAGGTACAGAAAACTGGTAAGGATATGGAATACTTTAAGAACACTATTGACCTACTCCACCCACCCCCATTGGCCTGGGTGGCCAAGGCCTGCACGGCAACTCTCAGCACCCCTGCCCACGTGGTACGCTGCAAGCAGCGAGCAGCGTGGAGCCTGTGGGCAAAGGCCTTGGCACTGAGAGAAGGTGCCAGTGAGGCCGCACACAGGACCTGCTCTGCTTTCCATGCGTAAATTCACAGGCATGAATGGGTAACAGCAGAAGATGATATTGGAACTTTAGAACAGTGAGCATGAGTGGTTTTGCACAAGAAGTTTTGCGAGATGTGATGTCGTTTACATCTTTAGTGTGCCTAAAGATGAAACAAAATTGAACAAACAAGATTAGTTTGGTACTTTGGAAAGTGTGAAAGTTGCTTGTGAACTTTGTTCTCTTCTATCTGGAGAAGTAACTGAGATTACAGAGCCTCTTGAAGCAAATCCAGGAC